AAGTAAGGACAACTTGTGCCTTAGCCTCCCAACATGCAGGCTGAGGTGTGAGAAGATTTTTAACTACAAGAAGCAAGTAAAGAGCAAGTCATAGGTATTTAAGAGGAATGAAAATATCACAAAAAACCTACTATCATAAAATGACTGTAAGCAAATTCAAGCTGGGAATAAGGTTGCTGTAATAATTAATTAGGTATTCTAGAGTGAGTATAATGGGGGAAGAAAGATCCTTGTTTTTCATATTCAGAGGAAAATCAGGGTCTGTCTTTAAGACATGAGCATTTCCTTTTGCCACTTTATTTTTAAATTGATTGGGCTGTTGAAACAATACAGACTGAACATGGGTATTAAGAATACTGGAATTTATCAAGCCTAAATAAGACAATTTTCTCTAGAATTGATACTATATAGATTAGGCAAGATGATGAGATGAGGTAGAGTGAGCACACTTAAACAAGCAAAAAAACCCTCAAAGTGTTCTAATATGAATACTAGGGTAATGGGTAGCTAACAGGAATCACAGTGTGTCCTGCAGGACACATTTCAATGTGAGAAGACTTTTGTGACTTCCATTAAAACTATTCCTGAAGCTAAATCCCCCCATCTCGCTCCAGAGTAATTCCTCAGTGATGTTCTGTTTGGCAGTCATGAGTCACTGATGAAGAGGTGATAACTTTGGTTGCCTAAAGCTCTGTACGTACCATTAACATCCAATCACTAAGGAGTGAAAAAGCACTTAGTCGAATGGGGTGAAATGCGTTTCCTCTGGCCAAAAGGTGAAAAGCAGAGAACTTCAGATCTCCTTATTGCTAGGATTTTAAAGAATCTCATCAAGAAAATACAATATTTTTTAATTTACTTGGTCCTTGATTGGTACTCTACTTAAAACAATTTAAAACATTTAAACTTTATTTTTTTTAAAGTGCTTTCTTATTACACATATATAAATATATATCTATGAAAAATAACTAGAAAGCTCACTGTAAGTCTGTGTTTTACAATGGACACAGTGAACATGAGAACGACCTTGTGATTTCTCTCTAAAGGTATCATCGAACAAGTGTAAAGAGCATGTGTTTGGGATATGTAAAATGAGAACTACAGCCATCTTGATCGAACTCCAGAAGAATTTTCTGATTAAAAGTCTGCTGCCTGATAGATAATTCCAAATCATATTCTTTATTTTTTCTTTGATTCTTCTTAAAAGTTTAATTCAATTAGATGATTTTCCTTATGCCATCACATTGAATTTTGAACAAATTGGCAAATATTGGATTTATAAGCTTTCCAGTATTTCTTTCAAAGTCATATTTACTGTGATGATATTTAAGCTGTGGCAAGGAGACACTTCTTATATTTTGTCCCAGTTGAATTTGTTCAAGTTTCCTAATTTAGGGGGAGGAGAATTCTGTGGTTTAGAATTGTTGTGAGATCACACCTTGATCATCTTTCTCAGATGACTGGTATTTCTAGAAGCAAATGCTTTGCCATCCCTGGTAACACAGACTATAAAACACTAACAACTTCCAGCACTGCTACAAGTGTCTGTACATGGTAGAAGTACGCTCTAAAATACAAACCCTTAATAATTTGAAACTGCTTAGTTCATACCCACTGTATTTTAGTTTTTATATTTCCCTTCTACACCGCATGTAAAATCAACCTGACAGTTGTTATCACAGATCTGAGATTCATTAGAAATTCATTAATCATCCTAAAGGGATGTTTATGGATAGGAGCACGGTATATTTTGGGGCTGTCAAGACAAATTGACCAAATGGCTTCTCTGTAACCGCCCTGCAACTGTGGCAGGCTACTGACAAAACTCAGTGCATGGTATTCCTCTAAATCTAACATAAAATCTAATGTAAGAAAGCAGCTAGGTGAAGTGTCTGTGGTGATAATTAAATTGAGCCTTAAATGAAATTTGTGATTTAGATATCAAAGCAATTAAATTATTAAAATCCCAAGGCATTTTTCATAAATTGGTTTCCCAGTAATCTTTTGTATCAGACTTTCAACTGGAGACTTGAGAGTGGGCAGCCCTGAACAGTTCCCTCAGCTATACAAACGGGTACTTTTTTAACTTGTGACCCTTTGTTTTATCAGCCTTCTCCTAAAATTCCTTTTCCACTCATTTCATGCTTTAAAGCCTAACTGTAAAATCTAATGAAAACATTCTGGATTGATAATAATCACCCCTTTGGCCAAATAAACGTGTCGTGCTTTCTACCAAAATAATTTCAGGCAGTATGGTTCTAGCACTAGCGGTATGTTCAGGAATGCTCTGCTCTGCAGCACGTAGCACACCCCGATGCAGCGCTGATGCCTCTTGCCGGCTGCATTGGAACAGTGCGGTTAAATGAAGTTAATGCCTTGGTGTCTGCTTCTGGCTGCAGGACACTAGTTTTCGCTCACTGAATTCTTTCACTTCAGATACGTGTTGTGAGTTACTTGCCCATGCAGTTGCTTTCCTCGCTGCTCTTCATTTCTTCTCTGTTAATGCTACAGTTTTGTTACTAGCTTTTGGGCATGCTAGTTTAGCTTTAAATTACATCTTGCGCTGCATGAATTAGAAGGAGGAATTGCATTAATTTAGCCAGTGCTACATTTCAGTAAGCCTACTCTTCAAAACATTATCATATGTAAAAAGATTGATCCCAGTGAGTTAGTATTTTAAATGACAAGGTCAGGCATAACTTGTTTATCCTTCAAGGTGGTGTCTGACAGTCAGTTTTCCTGCTGTTAGCACCCATCAGTCCAAATAATCTCCATGCTCTACTAATGACAAAAAATGCACTTTAGTGTTACGCCATGGAGGAGAGTGTAAAAGTAGCTGTATAGAAATTTTTCAGGCTCTTACACAACACTGTGTGTTCATACAATGCTTCTCAGCCAATGCTCTTCTGAACAGAAAGTTACAATGGACTATATAATGTATTAATAGTAAGTTTAAATGTCTCTATGTGGCTTTGCTTTCAGCCATCTGGTAAGCTCTGCTTTTCTTGAAGTTTTCTCCAAGTTGTGTTGCTAAGATATAAAACTTAATAAGATTTTGATGATTTGCCAAAGCTACTTTTTCTAAAATACTATGGTGGCACTGAGTAAACAGCAAAACTATTAACAGTAGTCTCTTACTTTTGACATGTGATGCAGAACTACAGTTAATGCCTTGAGCAGCGTTTCCTTGTGTGTGTAGTGAGATCTTGGGCCTCTCAGCCCAGAAGGGAATGTTAAGGCAGTGGCTGGACACGTTTATGTCTCTCTGATCCTAGTACTGATGTCCTAGAGTAGTTTCTTAGGACAGGGTAGGACCCAGGATAGCTGCCTTGTGCCAGGCTTATGATACAAGTAGCTGGAGAATTTGCAGAAAAGTGCAGCTCATCTAGTGCTCTCCTGTATCACTCATGTGCCTCCTTTCAAACAGAGAACTCCTTAGAGGTGGGAAGTCTTTGTTTGGGCCTGTTTCTAACTGGAAATGGAAGCAAGCTTTGGTATAATCTTAGGAGACCTGTCTGCTAAAGAAATATATTCTCCACGCTTCTTCACAGGACTCTGAGCTTGTTCTCAGAAATCTGGCCAACTGCCCACTCAGGCTGTTGCTTGGGTGTCAGCTGGCTGGCTTTTATTAGTAACGACTTGTGGGTGTAGGTCCAAAAAACAGTCTAAATTTTTATGTGGATTTATATGAGGTTCTACAAATTTAGATGCTAGGCTCAGAATAATTTTTCACTTGTAAGCTTTCTGCTAAAATATTTACACCATCTCTAAAAGCCCATTTATTATATGGTATGACTTTGTAATACGTAAAGTGTTGCTTGCAGAACATGCATAGAATACAAAAAGCAAAGACCTATATATTGTATGTTCATACTCCTGACTTGCTCTATATTACTTATATATATAAGCAGTCAGAAAAGGGCTGGTCTTATGGTATATTGGTTTAACTCAAAACAGTCCTCAGGCATCACTGTTCAACCACTATTTGCTGCGCTGTGGAAAGCCTGAAGTGATGTTCTGTTTAAAAAGATTTTTATTAGTTCACTGCAGGGAGCAACTGAATTCCTTCATTTATTAACCTTAAGGTGTGTGAGGAACACAGAGGAGACAGAGATGGCCTAAAGTGCAACTCTTGTCACTCGTGATGACCGTTCCTGTATCCTGGGAATGCAGGCACACAAATGTGGAAGAAGTTGCTACATAATTTCTGGAATAACTGTCTTTGGAAAGAGCCTCTTCTACCAATATTACCTCCCTAGGCAATTAGAACTGCCTCATGGTTGAAGGACAATCTAAAGATTCTACTACTACAATCCTGGCAACTATGGCTCTCCAGACCACGCCTGGGTTAAACTGCTAAAATGGTAGCCATTCTCCTTCACAGATTATTGATAGAAGATCAACAATGCCAAACAGTTTTCTCCCTATTCAAAATCAGGAAGTTAAGTACAGTTACTCGGTATGTCAGAAAGGTATGTGTTCTTCAATTCTGCTTTCTGATAGAATACTGGCGTTAAGAAAGCTCAGCAGAGAAACTTGCTGAAAAAATAAATAAAGGTTTAAGGATTTCCTGCATGTTTTTCCCCCTCCCCCCTCTTTTTTTTCCTTTTTCCTCTGATCTGAACAGTCTCAAGGTCAGATATAAATGTAACCTGAAAGGTTTTGTAAAAAGTATATATTTTTCTCCTGGAAGAGAAACTTTTGACTTGTAAAATAACTTTTTTCAAAGAAAGATGTTCGTAAGTAATTTTACTTGAGTGTTTCATTAGTATGCCATCAGTATGATAAATTTTAATGTATTAGTAAATAAGAATTGGAGGTACACATGCCTTTATTTAGTAAAGATATATTCTGCTAAGGAAAACTTGAACTAACTAAACAAAGTCTGTCTGTATTAAGTGTTTGCGTTTTTGTAGTGGGCATAGTTCTAGCAGTTTGCTTCTTTGATAGGCTTGACCAGTGCAGGATTTTAACACTCAGACTCTTAGAAAAGTGCTTACCGTGGTGGTGAATCAGGATACATGATGTTGACCTGAGAAAGTGTATCCAGATAGGAACTAAAATCAAAAGCTGGGGGAAACTCTTCCATGCAGGTGGATCTCAGCTCTCCAAAAGAGCCACCGTAAGAGAAGCCATCTGGAGCTGTAAAACAAGCAATTAATACTTGCTGCTCTTTTTCTCTATTGTGAATTCTCTGAGACAGGATCACTGTTTGTAACACTGCCATAAATCAGCAAATAAAACCTGAGACAGAGGAATTACTGGTATTCTGGGACAGTCAGGTTTCACAGGACAAGATGCAGGAGTTTAAGACTTTTTCTTGTGCCTTGAAGGTTGAAAGTTCTGCATGCATCTTCAAACAGGAGCAGGATTGCTGAAGTTCCCAGGAGCTGCATATGTTGAAACCTTGGCACATTCTCTAAAGAATTTTAAAAGGAGGCATAGGTATTTGATTGTAGGCATGTGTCCTGAGAAAGTGCTGTTCTCTATAAAAACACTCCAAAAAAAGGGGAGGGGTGGGGGTGGGGAAAGGAAAATACTAGAGAAAATGTCTGCTCCAGGGCTTTCTTAATGCTGTCATGCAAGAGCTTCACAGCTCCACAAATACCGAGAAGTTATCTTCTGTGTTAGCTGATAGTTAGCTAATGTGCAGCATTCCAGGGTAAACCTCCTTAAGAATGTTCCAAATTGTGGTAACGCAATCTCTGCTCCCCCACTCCCTGCAGTTGTCTTTCAAATAAAGTGATCCCTCCCTTTCAGTTGATCCATCAAAATAATACCTGGAGAGAAGGGCCAGCTTCTAAAGTGACACTGAAGTAGCTTCTCTCTTAAACAGAGGGTTAAGGGCAGGACTCATTGAACTGCCTGTTCCTCTGTCTGGCAGTTTTCCCCTCTGCCAATGTATTCTCAAGGAATTTACCAGGGCTAATCCAGTCTATCACGCACTGTGCTTTCCTTCTGCTTGGTAAGTGAAGGGAGCCAACTTCACAGTGGCTCCTGCTGCTCCTGTGCTGGCCACTGAAAGCATGCAGAGATATCAGGATGGCGTGTGCTAATGTGAAATTTTCCCTTGGGTAGACTGGCACAATGTAGTTTGCGATTATTCTTTTGAATTTCTCTGAAAATATAAAGGAGCTGAAATTAACACAGCAGTAAATGTAAATGTAGTGACTGGAACTTATCATTTTATCATGCCAGAATTTGCTCTTCAGGGTTAAACATTAACTCCATTTGGGTTTAACTATTCAATCCCAAATTCAGCTGCTGAAAAGTAGGAAAAATAGATGTTACAATAACAGTAGACATAATTTCTGTGGATTTTTTGTTTCCTTTTTTCCTCTGTACGTTACCATGGGAGTTTGCATTTCACTTCTTTTGGAGTCTAAAATTTATTTCCAAAACATAAATGTATATACTTATCTGGATAACTGTTTGTTATTCTTGGCTACAAGGGGACAAACTGATCCTAGGAAAAATGTTTCTTTTCAACACAAAAATTCCTGGTTCAAATTATTAAATGAAGTCCAACTGACCTCAGTGGATACTTGATTTACCTCAGTGAAATCAAGATTTGAGCCAATGCATTTTTACGTGGCTCACTGTTGCTATCTTTTCTATACATAGAAAGCTTCCCTGAATAGTATGAAGTGTAATTTTGTAACAAACTGCAGACGGAGGAGCCTAACCACAGATGACATAATTGGTTGATGCTCCACTCAATCCATTTATCTTTTGAATTTTTACTAGCTGCAGACTTAGAAAGCAACTTTCTGTGACTGTGTTTCTTAAATATAGAAATAATTAGATTCTCTAATTTCCTTGACAACGTGGCATTTAACTTCTGGTCAGCAAACCCAAAACTGGCCAAAAATGTAATTCCCAAATCCTTTTAAAGTATGTTTTTTTTTGTGAGGGCGTAGGGTGATAGGAGTTGGCACTTTTGTTTAATAGGAAATTAAAAATACTTCTTAGTAGTGATGTAATGACACTGATATCAATGACATCATTATTGATGATGACAGTTGTAATGATATTTTGATGCCTGTTGTTCTGCTTATATCCACTTAATAACTTTTATGGTCAGAAAAGTAGTAATTGCCCAGTCGTCGTAGTTTGGTGCACATGGCAGAAGCAAAAATGTTCCTGGCTTTCCAACAAATAGAAATTACATTATATGCTATACCAAGACTATAATGGGATATGAAAATAAACTGTCAACCATCTAGAAGAAATCTTACACTCTATCAAGGGAAAATAAGCTATTTAAGAAATGCTGTCGGCATTGTCTTTGTTTATGCTAACCATTAACTATGGAGCTTGTACTATGTGAATTCAGTACCAGCACAAAAATGCTATTAAACCACAAAGCTGCCTGTGACCTACTTATTTTTTAATTTTATTTTTTTATATCCCTTGCACAGCAGCCAGATGCTTTCTGTTGCCTGTAGCACCAGATTAATAAAGTTAAGCATTATCTTGCTATAACTAGCTATCTTACCATAAACAGCATCTCTCCTCAGATGGGGGTGTCTTAACCGTCCGTCCTTCCGCAGACTGCCAACAATGATTGTAACGCAGGATAGAAATAGTACAAGTCCAATCACTACTCCAGCCACCAGAAGAGGGGAAACAAGTAAGCTGGTATCATTTCCATTTTCAGCATAGCTGGGAAATTCACTGGTTGGGCTGCTCTGGTTGAAGTGAACTTCTGTAGAGCAGAGAGAGAAAGAGCATGTCAGTTGTGGAAAAAAGACATTTACAAAGTGTGGTTGTACAGATGCCAAAGCTAAGGGATTTCACAGCCCTAAGAGACAGCCTTAACATCTAATAAACTGTTGAAATAGAAAACCATCACAATGAGCACTTAAAAGGTACTCATTAAAAACCTGAAAGTAAATAAACTTAACCTCTATTGCCTTCTGGGCTCCCCTGTATGTTTAAACCCAAGGATTGTGTCAGACGTGTGCTTCAGTCGAGGCTTTCCTGGTATTCAGCCTGACTACGCACCTTGTGGAGAAGTTAGGTTTGGTGCAATCATTTTCATTTCATCCTCCCTACCTTGGCCTGATACTATAAGGCAGGAGCTGTGGGGGCAGGCAGGCCTCGCTGTAAAACAGTGTGGAGGCACCGTGGTGCCGTGGTACCCCCTGCGCTTCCCCAGGTGACAGCAGGCTGGGCTCTGCTCTGCTCTGCCTGGGTTGTGCACCTTTGTTTCAGGCAAGCAGTTCTATACAGCAACATTACTGCTCTTACTCCTGCTCCATTTTGATTTTTCACTTGAAATGTGCTCATGTTGTATGTCACAAAATTTATAACTACTTCCCTCTATTAAAAAAAATCATCTAGATGTATTATTTAAGTTTGATAATAAATCTGCTTAAGGGGGGAAAAATGGAAAATGCAGTCTCCCAAACTAGGAGAAGACAGAATAACTCCAGTAATTTATTGTCAAATAGCCTTTTGAGACAAGTTAAAGAGAGTATTGAAAGTTAAACAGGAAGTTTCCTTTTGAGAATCAACCAGTGACATGTGATTATACATGTGAATTAATTGCGCATAGATGTATTTACAAGGATTGTACTGGTAATGGAGAGGTGCTAAATGTTAGGGAAGATGGGGAAAAAGGATTTAGGATTTCAGCAGATAGAATCCCTGCTTAAATAAAAGGCTAAGTTTGGGCATGCAGTAAAAGTAACCAAATCTGGGCCTAGGTTTTGAAAACAAGTTGCAAGAAGCACCTATTTTCCTATCCTTAATCCACATCTGATTAAAAAAAAAACCACAAACCACAACCAACCAACCCCTCCAATCTCCCATTAGCTGCTCAGGATCTGACTATACACCAAGTAAACTAGAATTTTACTGATGCAAGAAATTATTAGAAAAGCATATATACGTCAAGACTAGCTTTCAAATATGAGATGGAATGTATTTTTTGATATCTGGCTATTTGCCAGTTGAAAAGTAAATAATTTGTTTCCTACAGAAACTAAGGCTAACAAAATTTTGCTCTTTTGAATATTCAGTAAAGTGAGTATGTGTTTTTGGAAGTGCAAGTGCTTTTTACATGGATAGATGTTAGCAGATAGTTTTCAGCAATGTTTTCTTCACTCTTTTCCTTTGGGATATACCACTTAGTATCTTGCAGTCACAATAAGCTTAAAAAGAAGATGATGGCTCCAAGCCAATATATATTATCATTGGCTAATGCTTGACATTGAGAGAACTGACTAGAAATAGAAAAAAATGGGGAATTAGTGTGTAGTAGGGTTTTTGTTAATTTTTTAGAAGCACTTGACTGTTGGCTGAGAACCTTTATGAGCAATTAAGATAGACAGCCAACAAATATGCTGAGCTTTTACAAAGCATTTCATGCTTATTTTATTTAGGATGAGAGGAACTAAGATCAAATTGCACCAGGAGAGGTTTAGATTGAATATTAGGAAAAATTTCTTTACTGAAAGAGTGGTGAAGTATTGGAACAGGTTGCCCAGAGAACTGGTGGAGTCACCATCCCTGGAGGTGTTCAAAAAATGTGTAGACATGGCACTTAGGGACATGGTTTAGTGTCCATGGTAGTGTTGGGTTGACGGTTGGACTTGATGATCGTAGAGGTCTCTTCCAACCTTAATGATTCTATGGTTCTACGCCAAAAGAGAAAACTGAATTTTCTGAAAATTAAGCTGACTCTGTAGCACTAAATCAAAGGCGTATGGAAAGCTGTCCTGTTTTTCCGTGAAACTGAAAATTGTAAACAATGCATGCACAAATACAAATACTTTAATCCTCTAAATATGAATTATACTGGATGCACAAATCCAGTGGTGGGAGCTGTGTGACTAAACAGACATGGCACAGATGGAACATGCTGGCTGTTGCAGCCATGAATACAATGCAAGGGGCACACGTGGCTGAGCAAACACTTAATTTAGAATGAGACTAGCAGTGGAGCATTGCCTACACTATCTGTTCAGTGTTAGCCAATCAGTTATCAATCTACAAAATCCCTTAGATATCACATGGTATTATTTTACTTGGTGCTCCTGCATTTCAGCAGACAAGCTTGTCAAGTAACTGAAGGAGGCATAGTACTACTTGACTTTTTTGGTGTATGTTGTGCTTTTTCCTTCTCATTAGCCTGTCTTGAAGGGACACTTCTTACCCCTTTCTAACTTGACAGTAAGTAATGCTGAAGTTTCAGTTGGGTCAGATCCTGTCAGAGAGAAGTGACTTGGTGTATAGATGTGTCATGGGAGCTTGGTTCATCCAAGATACAGCCCTTTATTAGGAGTGGCTTCTCTTCTTTACTGGCTTCTACATGCTTGTATCCCAGGTGACACAGAAAGGAAGCACTACATATAAATGAAAATCACTTCTCTCTGTACTGAAATAGTTGGGTGGTTTTGTTGTTTGTTTTGTGTTGCCTTTTTTTCTTTTTTTCCCTGAAGGTACATTAGCTTTAGTTGAAGCTGCAATGGTCTCTGTAACTGATAGGGTTTTCTTTATTCTCTTTAATAAACAGAGATGATTTTGACACTGGATCTTATTAAGACAACCAAATCTCATTCCCAGGTTTAAAATCTCTCTATTGTCTTAACAAACATGATAATTACTGTTATCACTAGTGCAGGGGATGAGACATAGTGTGGTTTTGTTTCTCAGCTCATGAAGAAGTGCTCATGTTATACTGGAAGGATTTTGTGTGCAGAAACATACACCTCTACATCCCTGCCAGCCTCAGTTAAGCCTTGCCTCAGGACAAAATGGGCTTAGTGATTACATGCTGAACTGGAGCTCAAGCATGCTGGCAGAACAATGTTATATTACATGTATGCCCTGGGTTAGTACAAGTTTTTTGGGGCTGACGGTCCAGCACCTCCTGTTACCTTTAAATACACTATACTAATGATGTGTGCAGGACTAGAAAGCAGTAGGAGAAAGCTTAGTCTAGGACAGTGCATAGTATGCTTTGATTTTTAAATAATCACCACAAAGTGTCTCGAACACAACACGTTTCTGATATTTTTTTAATCCCTGGTTGGGATGGTGTTGGAATATGCAGTCTCTTTATCATGGGGAGGAGATTGACAGATGGCAAGAATGAATTTAGAGGTCCCAGTGAGGCACACAGATAAACTAAATTAATGGAATTGATGAAGATTTTGTTACTTTGGCTTTATGAATTGTTCCTGTTCAAAGATGATTTAGTCTGACCAAGAGTGATTCTGCACTTTTTGCTGTACCTGTGAAATAAGCCTCTGGCTGCAGCTGCTGTCAGGCTGCTATCACACTGCTTATTTCTGTAGCTCCCAGGCTGGAGTTCACAAAATGAGTAAGGGAGGTGCAATACAAAAACAAACTGAAAAAGGTTTTGGATCACAGGTGCCAGCATTGTACAGAGCATCACTCTAGCAAGGAAGGGATATTATGGAAGTCATTGAATGCAAAGGCTCCATAGGAGCTAAATATTTTAAAAAGAAAAAGAAAAGTCTCTGGATTCAAAGCTGTTCCATCTGGTTCCTGAGGAAGGTTGGAACCTCTCACTTAGGCCAGGATGTCATCTCCTTATGATGATCTCAGGAATACATCAGGAGTGGCTTGAGCTTGTGAAAACAACCTGCCAGTTTTAAATGGAAAGCCACGAGTCAGAAAGACTTAAAAACTGAGTAAGTACAGGGAGTTTGTAGCTGCCATTAAAGTATGGAGGACAAAAAATTGGTCACTAAACAAAGGGGTTTGTACATCTAGCTATGGCAATAGATCGTGTCAAGTGTAATGAATTAGGCGGCACTGCCACTGAATGTTTGGGTGCTTGCCCTCTAAAGCAGCAAAACACAGCAGCAAAACACAAACATCTGTGTGTTTGTAATACCAAAAGAATAAAATATATCATATCATGGCCTAAGCTGGAAGGGACCTTAGAGATCATTTTAATCCAGCCTCCCTGCCGCCAGGGACGCCACCTCTCGACTAGATCAGGCAACACATGGGGACCGAACGGGAATCAAACCCACGACCTTAGCGTTGTTAGCGCTACGCTCAGCTGACTGAGCTATCTCAGCTCACTGGTTATACTCATTCACCTGTGGGAACACTGCGCATTAGATTCTTCCTATATTCTAGGAGAATATAGAAGAAGAGGAGAACTGCTACCTTAGTATGTTTAATGTTTAAATAGGTGTTTAAAAGGAACTGAGGATGATGCTAAAAACAGACAAGGCTATTGGTCCTCTTGCATTTATTTAATTGTCATGTAGCAAAGTTGAGCAAACAAGTGGAATACTAGAATAACCTGGGAAATGTCCTCTCTATAAATCAGTTTTACAAAAGCCATACAAAATAGTATGGGGAATGGAATTTTTGGTTCAGGAGGCGCAGGAGCATATTTAACTCTCACACTGCTTGCCTCTGCTAGGGGCCAGCTGCCTGTTGTCCTCCTCTTCTGCGTGCTTTTCTGTTTTGCACACATAAAATCAAACTGCCTCTTAAGCTACAACTGATATTCAATAATAACAGTACAGGGATGGCTTCAATCTTTTACCTTAACGTGGCTTGTAAAGGGCATCACATGGTATACAAATTTATAGATTAAAGATTGGTTGATCTAGTTTAACTCATGTATATTTGGTTCAAATTTCTATTCACGTACTGCTTATGAGAGGCCATTAACTTGTGCTTAATGGTAGCTTATCTTCTGGAATGGTACTC